CAGCTGAACATTAAAAAAAAAATGTTTAAAGGTGAAAGTTTACAGAAATATGCTTAGAACTAAATAAGTTATAAATTAAACAGAATAAAAGCTAAAGCTGCAATCTTTAAGATTCAAAATTAAATTTTATAGGTATGGTATTTACAAATGCAAAGGATATCAATGTAAAAACAATTCACTACCTGAATGATTTATCAGGGGCTTCCGCAGCCTCATAAATGAGACCAATAGAGATCATTAGTTTTATTATTAATGTAGCTATCAACTAAATCTGTGCATGCGAGAACAGACTCAATAACTGTTACTCTTGGTAAACACAATGGTAACATCGACTTTTACAGAGAACTCTGGAGGGGGGAGAGGGATACTACATGGGTATTCCTACACTATATCACAAGTTTACATATTGTGATTCATCTGGTTTCCCATCTACTCTACAATCCTTGTGGTTACAGATCGCATTTGAACCTATAGCTCATGATTTTCAGTACACTTTTACCGCACGTATACGTGTACATATAACTTATGATTGAATAATGTATGACGGTAGTGTTTACGTTATATCTTTAAAATAAAAGGCTATCTTTAATTTTACATTTTGAATAAATGAAAAGCTAAGATGATCTTCTGAGATTTTACTTAAATACTAAATGTATATCATGCATATAGCAATCTGTAAAATTCAAATGTTCGTATCTTCTTTATTAATTAAAAAGTAGAATTGTTATTACATACGAACAGAATGCGTGTTTCAACTAATTTTGTTTAATTTCTTTTAGAATAAGAGAGTGAGTCTGGGTTAATGTCATATATATATATATATATATATATATATATATATATATATATATATATATATATATATATATATATATATATATATATATATCGTGCGGCGTCAATTCGGCCAATGACGAAACGGCCCCGTCAAAACGACCCCGACAAAACGACCCCGTCAAAACGACCCCGTCAAATCGGCCCCGTCAAAAGGGCCAGCGACATATGGACCCCGTCATATAGGCTCCCGACAAATAGGCTCCCGTCATTTAGGCTACCGACAAATAGGCTCCCGTTATATAGGCTCCCGACAAAAGGGCTCCAGTCAATAAGGCTCCTGACAAATAGGCTCCCGTCATTTTGGCTCCCGACATATAGTCTCCCGTCATTTAGTTTTTTCCACAAAACGGCCCCCGTCATTACGACTCCCGACAAATAGGCTAGCGTCATTTTGGCTCCCGACAAAAAGGCTCCTGTCAATTTGGCTCCAGACAAAAGGACCACTGACACAGTGGCGTAGCTACCGAAAAGCTAGCGTAAGCAAGGCATGGGGGCCCAAGGCACATAGGGGCCCTTTTCCCTCATAAAAAATTAAAACTTTTACAATGGAATTTTAATATTTGTTACATATAAATAATTTTAAAAAAGAAAAAGGTTAAACGTTCCAAAAAGCCCCCCCCCCCCCCCCCCACCGTTTCGGCAGTGGGATTCAGTGTTTGTGGGTCAAACAGAGCCCAATCGTTATAATAACACTACAGGCTATATCACTTTGTCGTGCAAGACATTGAGAGAATCAGCCTATAAATAAACTTTTTAGCAGTAGTAGGCAAGCATAATAATATAGTATAAATACAAAATCAGGACATATAAAATACAAAATGTTGCCTTCAGAATATTTATATATTAATAAATATCCATCGTAAGTAGAAGTTGATCTCTTCGTTTAACTCCTCTGTAGCCTAACGCAGAGGCGTAGCGAAGGCGAGGCGGGGGGGTGCGGACCGCAACGGGTGACACCATTTAGGGAGGGGGGGTGACACCAAAGGCAAAAAATTGTAAAATTTATAGAATCTTCTTCTTCTTCTTCGTTCTTAATTATTAGTGTTGAAGGGGGTCGAGATTTATTTGCCAGTGGGTTGAAACTCGAGACTTTGTTCGAATTTATCAACCATGATCTTTTTGCCGACTCGACCACGCCTCCAACACAATTAAGCGTTACGTGTCAACTGGTTATGCGCCATTGAGGCCATTGACTCCGATTTCAGCCTGCTTTTCTTTTTGGATTTGCTTCCATAGCCTTTGTCCAACCAAGAACAAACTACAAGGCAGCAGTTGTTTGATTTTGGAGTTGTCTCTCCTAGAAGAGTGGCTGTCCCCAGCTAACGAGCCTCATCTGCCCGAGGGTTCGAACTCGAGACTTTTCGGTTTAGCAACCATGAGCTATACCGACTCGACCACGCAGACCCTATTTATAGAATGAAATGCCATTTTCCAGATCCATTAGTTAAAGTTAATTAGTCTTCTAAGTACAAATCGAAAATTATATCAAGAGGGGGGGGGGGTGTGACATCACGACGTAAACGTAAACTATAAAGAAAACAATGCTACATCCAACTGTATTATAAACAGACTGTAGATAAACATCGTTACTATTAAGTCAGCCGTGATTAAAGCTTAAACACGTACGTGTACCAGTATGTGGCATATATATAAATTTTAGGCCTATGTAGGCCGACACACACACACACACACACATATATATATATATATATATATATATATATATATATATATATATATATATATATATATATATATATGTATATATATATATATATATATATGCTTTGTTTCCTGGGAGGGGGTGACAATACGAAGTGCCGCACCGGGTGAGACCCGACCTAGCGACGCCACTGGCCTAACGGCTGACGAAGGGGCCCCACTGGTAATTTTTGCATAGGGGCCCAAAAATCCTAGCTACGCCACTGCACAGACAATACCGTTTCTGTAGAGACTAAGTCTCCCGGCAAAGCGGTCTCATTGAATATGACATCTGCCAGTGGGACCCCTTCATCAATATTCTTTAGAGTTAGCTTATCCAACACTCTTATGTAATACAACGTATGCATCTCTTGTTCGACAGGCCTTATTTTTATATTAGTTTAGCTATTATAAAATATAGTATGTTTTAATTTAAGGGTCATCTATCTATGACATCCATAATTGAGTCGGTTATAGGCTGTTCCAACTCACTGTGTGGGGAGAAGGGTCCACGCTGTACCTTCCTAACTGCAATATGCTTGTACAGGGGCGTAGCGAGGGGGGGGCGGGGGTGCGGACCGCACCGGGTGACACCATTTAGGGGGGTGACACAAAGGCAAAAAATAGCAAAATATATAGAGAAAAAGTTGAGGGGGTGGGGGTGCAAATCAAAAGTTTGGGGGGGGGGGGGTGCAAATCGAAAACTTGAAAGTTTGTCCCCGGGAAGGGTCGCAACGCCTCTAGGGGAGGGTGACACCATTAAGTGCCGCACCGGGTGACACCCGACCTCGCTACTCCACTGTGCTTGTAGGTTATCAAAACAAAATGCTGTTGTCATGTTAACATCATGTATATCATACATTTACACTTCTGTGCTCGCTTTTAAGCAACAGATCTTTTCTGTTGTAAATTAAACATTATCAAAACTTTAGAATTGGTGGAATTTAGCTGTTAAGGGCTCGATTTGTTTGTGAATTAATGTTGGTTCATGAAAAAATAATTTCATTCGGGCATTAAAAAGAGGTTATGGTGGTATTGGAGGTAGGACACAATGGTTACTTTTATGCCAATAGTGGTCATATCATTCATTTTTCTGGAGCCAATATGTCGGGAGTCATTTTGTCAAAAGCCAATATGTCGGGAGCCCAATTGCCGGGAGCCAATATGTCGGGAGCCCATTTGTCGGTAGCCAAAATGTCGTGAGCCCATTTGCCGGGAGCCCATTTGTCTTGAGCCCTTATGTCGGGAGCCAATATGTCGGGAGCCGCTTTGTCGGGAGCCAATATGTCCTGAGCCTATTTGTCAGGGGTTAATATGTCGGGAGTCCATTTGTCGGGAGCCTAAATGTCGGGAGCCCATTTGTCGGGAGCCTATATGTCGCAAGTCAATATGACGGGAGCCCATTTGACGGGAGCCAATAAGTCGGGGCCCTTTTGACGGGGCTATTTTGACGGGGTCGGTTTGTCGGGAGTCGATTTGACGGGGTCGTATTAACGGGGCCGTTTTGACGGGGCCGATTTGTCCCGGGCCGTTTTGACAGGGCACCATATATATATATATATATATATATATATATATATATATATATATATATATATATATATATATATATATATATATAATTGTACTTCTAGGTGGACAGGAGAAATTGATTTTTGGTTAAAAGACAAAAACAGGTAGATCTATATATTCTTGTTTTTTTAACTGCAATCTTTATTGCACATTGCACATTGCAGCCGAAAATGGGGCTTCCATACAGCGTGGATGAATTATCGATTAATGCTGACTATTGACATTTTAGGATTTACAACAAAGAAACATTCTGTCCGAATACACTACATATAAGACCAAAAACACTTTCTTGAAACCTATTGATGGTGAAGCATCACAGGCGGAGAATCGAAGAGAGTTTCCCTATTTGCTTTCCCTATTGATCTACTTTCTGATTAACTATATTTAGCCGTGTTAGACAACATTGGTACAGATAATCTTTTAGCGATAATGATTGCTAAATCGAATGAGCAAAGCTATTATTGGACAATGCACTTATTAAAAAAGAAAATGCATTGTGTACAAGTTGTATGCATTTTTACCGTTTTATATAATTAAATGTAAAATAAGTAAATTAAGGGTTCGTATTTTAACTGTGTTCATTTGAAGGCTGTTAATGCTAAAGCATTTATTTTGTGTTAGTTACACATGGTAAAAATTTGTAATAAATAGGAAGGCTTGGTTACTGAAAAGTATTCATAAGGCTTTGGTTATTAACTATAGCTAGGGACAGGGAACCCTGGACGATGCGCCAGCAGAAATTGATGCACATTTTAAATACTAAGGGCCGTATTTAATTTACTCTGTATTTTAGAAACCCAAGTCTCTGAAATATAAGTGCAGCTATGGAGATACCCAATTCTGTAAAGATTATTAATATTTCTTTAACAAGAATTTTCATTTTTCTTGTATTATTCAACAACTTCGTACTCATTAATAAGTTCATATGGGTCAATGGCATCAATGTAAATGTTATCTTCTTCTGCTACTGCAAAATCTCTTTTCATTCCTATATCTTTGCTTTTCTTCAGCAAATCGTATGACGCTGTGAAAGGAAATAAAATAATATTATTAAAAATGCTAGACACTATTTGAAAATAATTATCTATTAAATAAAAATACAAAGATAAACACTGATTTACTTAAAAACTAGCTTAGGTTATTAAATGATAATTATTTCTACCAACTGACACGGTAACATATCCTAGAATAGTGAGCAATTGTCTTTTATCATATGTAGATGACTATAAACACATTATGAATCATATGCGTAATACAACATTTTCAGTATTTGAAAAAATTAATTACTGTCAACTTTAATCACTTACTTATATATTTGAAAATCCAGATACCAAATACTAGAAAAACAAGCAAGGACACTGAACCAACACCTATTTCAATAATTACTTTTAGAAATGATTCGAAAATACTATCTGAAAATTAAGATATTTTATCACAATTAGTGGGATAACAATAGAGAGCAATAATTAAAGTAGAAATGTATCTCTATCTTAAGTTTAAAATTGTAGAAATGTATGTAATATTACATTTACAAAATTCAAAGCCCAATTGTAGCTGCTATTGCTCCTAAATCTACAATATCAAGGAACACATTTTCAAATATTTAGCACTTTTGATAAATGGTTGTTCTAGATACAATAAATTTAGGGGTACATTTATCTATCGAAGTGGTTCGTGAAGGAATCAGCAATGTCATTCTTCCTGTGTATAACCTGCTAAGTATTTTCAGAGGAAAGATTTTCTGATGGTATGCTATCATTCAGGTTACGTTTTCATGAGGGAGAAGGCAAGGGAGGGTAAGACGAAATTGGATTGAGGGCATCAAGAAATATACTGGGCTACCTGTGTTGTGATAAGGTAAACGTAAAGCAGAGAAAATGGCAAAAGAAAATTATGAAAAACTAAGCCAATGGGCAAATTTAATTTATTCCCATGGATTTTAAAAGGCATACATTGCTATATATTCTTTGAGAATTACTACTGTATAGCAAAAAAAAATACAATTATGGATTATGAATAAATCAATTATACGCTTTCAATATGCCTCTATACACAATTTTGAGAAGAGATTTCATGCTAATTGAATGCTTTGGGCGTTTTTATGTAAAAAAAAAACCCCACACATTTTAATTTAACGATGAAATTACATTTTTATACAAGCCATGAAATGAAATAAAAATTCCCTTAATTCTGTTAAAAATAACAGTTTATGACTTATTAAAATTTTTTGACATTTTAATAAACAAAGAAACAAAATACGATCCATTTGCCTTGGTATATTTATGACGATGCCTTATATCTTCTAGTTATAATCTCTTGATTTATTAAAATAGTAACCCGTGCACTCATTGATATTACCTTAGGAGCTTATTTATAGTAAAAATTACAACTAATAAAAGTCTAATTAAAACAGATTAACTTTTCTCATTTAAGCTGCCTAACTTGTCAGATTATTTATGAAAATCGTATATTAATATAATATTTTCACAGTCACTTACCTGCTTTAATAGTAAACATATATACAAGGCTTGCCCCAATTCCATTATCAATGTGAAGCTTCATTTCTGTGAAATCTGAATCTTGAATATCAGTCAGGGTTAAGATAACACATCCGTGTGGTGATAATGTAACAACATACTCAATGGTATACAAAGATTGATTCAGAGTTTTTAAATTAACATCCATGATAAAAACACGAGTTTCATTAATATAAAGCAAATACTTTAGGGGTTGTGGGTAGCCATACACCTCTATCTTTATTATAAGTCTGCCTTGCCTTTTCCCATGATAAACCGTATTATTCTTTTCAGGGTAAGTCATTTGAAAGGGACCTAAAATACAACATTGAATGATGACTTAATTGTAATGGTAATTCAGAAGTCTTAGAAATGAAGAGTAAAAAATTAATATTATCCAATATCTAAAATTATCTTCATTTTTAATTATCGATATAATAAATACAATAGTATATTTTTGCAAAAGAATATATATATATATATATATATATATATATATATATATATATATATATATATATATATATATATATATATAATTAAAGATTTGAATGTTTTGATATAGTTAATTTATAAATATAAATTAATAAATATACGTATATTTTAAAACACATTAACAATTAACTTGTTTAAACTTACATAATACATTTATTTGCACACTGCTGATAGCCTCATGTTCAGTATAGTTGGCAACACATTTATAAAGTCCTGTATCTTTGCAATCGCTATTCATTTTCCAGTCCAAAAATTTGCTTTTTGAACTTTGTAGCATGAAAGTGGTTAGGTCTTCTTTATAAAGTTTAACTTCTGGTGTTGGGTTTCCCTTTGTTTCACAGGCAAAGTTCAATGCTTCAAATGTATTTACTGTCAAACTTTTTACATTTTTACCATTCACCTGGAAACTCTTTATCGTTGGTGCATCTATGATTATACAATGACTAGTTCAAATAATAATATACATATAGTTTTTATATTTCATTTTATTCTATTATAAACGCTAATTGTAAAATACAATATATTTCCTGTTAAAATAGTTTACTATATAATATAAATAGTTTTCTGAATATGGTAAATATTTTTCATTAATTATAATATCCTACTTATTTATTAAAATCAAGTTAGTACACATATTTAGACAAACATAAATAGTGAATTAATATTTTAATTTCATTATCAATATAATAAAAAAGCTGAAGTTATAAGTAAAAAGAACGCAAAAATAGATGTTAATGTACTTAAATTATGCATTAAGCTTAAATGAAATTGCATTATTAAAAAAATATTAAATTAACTATAAGAACGCATCTCTCTAATTTATAGGCATAGCCGGTTAATCATCATCATTTTTCCTTTTCGTTCCTTGCGGAGCATAAAGCCTTTATCAAAGCTTTCCACTCTTTATGGTCTCTTGCAACTCTTTTCAGCTCTTCTCAATTCCTTTCTGTTCTTCGGCCCACTAACACTTTTTGCATATGGCCCAAAAATCCTAGCTACGCCACTGCATGTCTCTATAGTAATCTCTTTGCAAATTATCCCAAATTGTGTCTATGGTTTCCATGATTTTCATCTAATTATACAGCCGCTAATCGGCTATAATGAGTTCATTGTAGCTCATTCTGTGTGTTCTTGAGTTTCTCTAGGCCAAAACTTGTTCTCTCGTTTAATTTTGTTCTACCGTGTGCCAGCTTTATTTTAATCTCGGAGACTACCAGATGGTGGTCTGTTCCAATATGCCCCACTTCTTGCTCGTACATCTTCTAATGTACTGCTCCAATTTCAATGTTACTTTGTGATATTTTAAGGTATGTGGAAAGTTGCCTTCTCCTATCACCAGTTTATTGACCGTATATGTCTGCGAACTTCATTCCGTTTTCATACAGTTGCCAAGTCCATATGTACCCATTACTTTCTCTCTGTCACTCTTTCTCTCTATATCTTTATTTCTTTTATCGTCTTGTCAGCGCAGAGGCGTAGCGATGGGGGGTGGGTGGGGGAAGGAGGGGGGGGGGGGGGGGGGCAGGGGGGGACATGTCCCCGGGCGCCGACCTTAGGGCCGCCAAAATGGGTTGTAAAAAGTAATCGAAAGTTTGAGGGGGGGGGGGGTGCAAATCGAAAGTTTGTCCCCGGGTGCCGGGAAGAGTCGCTACGCCTCTGTGTTAGCGGCCTATGTCCTTGTAGGGACGACTAGCAAATCTAACTCCTAACCTCTCTTTATTGTTTTTATTGCCATTTCTAATTTGAGGATCAGTAAGACTTTCTTGGATGCTGTATCCACAATAGTTTGGAGTTATTCCTAAAATTTAGTTTTTTTCTTACCCAGGTTTAGACAATTTTAAGGATTTATAAGTAGATAATAAAGTTAAAATATATTAAAATATAAATAATTCCATTAGCATTCAGAAAGAGACTTTGGAAATACTGTTAACTAAATATACTCACATAAAACATTTATCATTATGATTGTGGTGTAATTTTCATAAAGCAGGCGTACATGTGATGCTTCACATTTGCAACGTATACTCGTTTGCGATCTTGATATATTTAATATTTTCATTTCATCGTTTATGCTGAACTGGGTTTGCAAACATTCTAATTTAACAGCTGATGTTGTTGCATTAAATATACAGTTTATGTTGTATAATCCCTCTTCTACTTTAATATTGTTTGAATTTCTTGAATTGTACCTGACTTGACTATTTAATCTTATTAATTCAATAACTGGTTCTGGCAGTATTTCTGGAAATAGAGAATGTGTAAGCTTAAATTATATTTTTACTATTATACATCACTAAAAATTGAAATAGAAAAAATAAACCATGTAAATGTATTTTATCAATGTATATACTACTAAAACAAGAGGTTCTTGTATTTTTATTTTTTGTTTGCTTTTTGATTTTGGTTCTTCTTGATCAGAACATCTGCACTATGTGTAGAACTGCAGAATACGTATTTATATAGAGTACAATATTAGTTTTTCCCAAAATGTTATAGGTCTGCACAGATTTATTTAAAGACGTCCATTAATTTATTGATGTATTCATACGTAGAATCACACATTTAATTATACGTTATTTGCGGGCTGGGTGTGGGAAATGATTGGAAGGAAATACTATTTATGTGTTTTGGCATAACTGATTGAATAAGTGATTGATAATTAAATTAGCATTAAATGTAAATGCAATATTAGATGTTTTAGGGAAAAGAAGAATTCATTTTATTGAGTCTCGTCTATATTTTGTAAATATATCGTACCAAACCATTTTCTTAAATTCGTCGTCACACAAACTTAAGTCAATGGTTACCGGACATGGGGGGACAGTAGGCTCGTACTTGACCGTGACAAGTCACTAATGGGTCCATGCGTTAATGAGAGTACACATTACACATGGAGTCTTTGAAGTTGCTTACATCACAATTTAGTTTAAAATCTTAAAAGTTTATGTAATACCATATTTTGCGTCTATGTTTATGTATCACTGAGAAAAAAATGCGGGAAGAAGTGGTTATTCAAGAAACATAATAACACAGAACATGTGGGTTTAAGGGAATTTTATAACTAGGGTAGGTAAAAAGCATTACATTACAATTTTATTAAACTTGTTTATAGTCCCTATAATATAATTATGTCTATTTACCGTAATCATAAAAGTGAGAAATACTTTTTCCAAACACCACGTCCTTCACTGTGTTTGTAACATTAGGATACAGTGTGACATTGAATACATATTGTCCTGCAGTGTTAATCTTTACTTTTATTTTACAATCAGCGTCAAAATAAACCGGACTGCCATGAAGCTGCGTATGTGAACATTCAAAATTCAGATTTTGTATTGGTTTCTGAAAAAAAATTATGATCCTTCATTGTATTTATTATAATGAAAAACAGTATTGTATAAACCTTTCCCCATACATCCAACATTTAATATTTTTTACACAATATTCAGAGAATTCAATTAATTTATAAATCTATATATTTCACAAATAAATAATTATGCATTTATATATATATATATATATATATATATATATATATATATATATATATATATATATATATATATATATATATATATATATATATATATATATATATATATATATATATATATATATATATATATATATATATATATACAATGAAAGTGTGTTTTGAAACTTTGGGAAGAGGATGAGAATACTCCAGAATATGTTTCTGTGGAAGAAAATTAAGTTTCGCAGGGGGGAATGGGTTTTGAAATGTCTCACTTCTTCTGTCTTTGAATCCAAGTCAGAAAACCGCTACTGAAACTGCAGCTGGAGGTCTTTGATGATCTCGCATGCAAATGACCCGGGGGACTCAGCTGTTACTTCAGCCATGAAAACCTTGCACCGCTGAAGGTGCGTCAAGTTGATGGCCTGTACTTGTTCCAAAAACATGACAAGTTTTAATCTGAAGGCCTTTAGTGGGTGTATAGATCAGAAGCTAGATTTCCCTCTCTTGTACTTTTAGGTTCAGAAAATGTAAATGACTAGTTATTCCTGAAGCAGAGGCCAATTTCCATACCAACTCTTCAACAGACATTTATGGCTGTGGCTTGCATTTACTTTCCAGGAAGTCACCTATTTCCTTTCTTAACTTAAATACTCTGCTCAGAATTTTCTAACAACTTAACCATCTTACTGTTGTGTAATATCGTAAATCTTGCGATTCTGTGTTTGTATCTTTCAACATGTCTCTGAACTATCTATGGTTGAGCCCATTTTACCTTATTAAATTCACCATCTTCACCACAGGATTCAGTACACTGCTAATGTTCATATATTTAGCACACAAAGCTTGTTGGTGAATAGTACAGTGTAGGAACATTGGTTGTAGAATGTTTTTCTCTTTCGCTTGTCGCACCTAACCTTTCTTTATGCCACTCATGTTCTTTTCTCCATCAGCAGTCAGGTAACTGAAGTTCTGGTAACTGAGGTTAGACCAGTCCAAGTTAAAATCAGCAAATGTTTTTTTAACTCATTGAATATATCCTCTCGGGTAACAGTGCCATACCCGCTATGTAGGAAAGCCAGCTCTTGTGTTATGTTCATGTCTTTAGCCACACCTCTAATGAACACACGCAGTTGAGAAGGGGAACAGCTGTCCAGCGACTCATCCATTGCAATTGAAAATTAAGAAACTTGCTTGCATTTTTCACCAATGCCTGCAACACGGCGGGCAATGGTATTTGCAGTCAAAGCTACATTTATTTCAAATTATTTTGAATATTCTGGGCAAAGTTTCTCAGCCACCTCCAACAAACATTTTTTTTCGTGGACAAAAAGATCTCCGCAGGCCGGATGAGAGGACCTCGCGGGCCGTATTTGGCCCGTGGACCCTAGTTTAGAGAGCCTTGGACTCCTAATCCAAAGTAAAAGAAGGCGGTAAGACAGTTGTGTTTTGTCACTGTTTGATGTAGCGTTTAAATTGTCTTTTTTAACTATACCAGGGGACCTTGTTAACTAAACCGGAAGTAAAATCTGTGAGTTTGAAAGTTAGACGTACAAAATCTGGGTGTGTAAATAAGCAGCGCTACTTTTGTGTAAATAAGCAGCGCTACTTTTGTGTAAATAAGCAGTGCTACTTTTAGGTATGGGCGCAGAAACGGAGAAAGAACGATTGGGCGCCGAAACGCCAAGAGATAGATAATGAACTGAACGTAGAGAACAATGTTTATAGATCGTGAGAGACGAATTGATACAGTGTGTTGACCTCAGTAGCGTACGCAGGGGGGGAGCAGGGGGAGCGGCCGCTCCCCCTCTGGTCATTTTCAGCAAAGTGGCGCCTTTTTGGAAACTTTTTAAACTCAAAGTTTTAAACAATGATATTTGTTAAAAAAAAATATTTTTGGTCAGCACATCTTTGTAAATCACAAGATTTCTTTTCATGCAGCAATCAAGCATTATTGTACTAGTCTAGTAGTGTCTACGTTTACAAAACGTATTAACAGCTGCATCAGTTTACCATTCTAAAAATAACCCATTACGATGCATTGCAATGTTTAAAATACCTCTACGGTAGTACCACTAGGCAAGAGGGGTGTTAAGTTTAAGGCAATTGTATAGTGTATTTGCTTACGAATAATTGAATTAGAAAATGTTATACATAAAACTTCACACATAATTACTTTATATACACAGTTTGAATCGTGTGATTAATTTTTTAAAAATTACAATACAGAAACAAATACAACTGATGTGGCACCTCTATTTAAATTTACTTATGAGCAAACTGCGTAGTGGTGGGGAAATTTTGACAAGGTCAACAAAGTCATCACGATGAAGTAGTAGTACTCTTACAGTTTGGGCCACAGTGATTACGATTACAGGTTATATGAAACAGTTACAACCCCCCTCCCCTATGGACCCTCTCTGTAAAAAAAATATTGTCATAATACCACTGCTACTTATTTAAATCTATTTCTGTAATATATATTTGTGTAATATATAATTGTGTAATATCTATGTATGTTTAGAACAGTCATATAAAAACTGACGCTATGTTCACTCTGAGTTGGTTATCTTCCCCCCCCCCCCCCCCCACACACACACACCTCACCACCACAATTGTGTAGAGCGACATTAATGTCACACCTAGGTATACACTGGGTTGGATAATTGATCTAAAGTGAACGGACAGTGGTGAATGAAGTTGAACCCGACCCACCCCCCCCTTCACCCCACCCCCGACTCACCCCGAACTGATCTATTAAGTACTTGTAGAAAAACGCGTAATGATGTACCAAAGTACCATGCCGCCAGAAAATTAGCCTTTTAAACGTAAAACTCTGTGAATATTGTTTTTGCAATTACCAGTAAGAAGGTGCGTGATCAATACAGTGATCTAACCCATACCTATCACTGTGTTAAAAAATAAGCTTTAAAGAACTCATAGAAGCAGTAGTTAATTAAAATATTATGATCTGAACTAAAAGACCAACGTATAGTTAAATGTAGACTGTTTATTCCGAATGTTGTTCTACTATATCGAAAAGCGTGCTTTTATACCAACTCTGATTTTAAAAACTTTTATTACGCTGTAATACTTTAGCATTTATGATGACGATATATTAAATTCTGATTATAGACAAAAAAAAATCGTAAACACGAATAATGTTAAACAGTTTCATTATATTCTAAAGTAATTATTTATTTGTTTTGACATTTATAATTAAATGTGTAGATAAATACATATTTAGATTAAGAGAGTGATTATTTCCCCTATTTCACTTGTCTTAAATAATTTCCCAGGAATTATTATGTAAGAAATTTTGTTTACAACAATTACAAAACAGATTGTGTTACGTTCATTGTTTTTGGTTGTAGTGTGTGTATATATTTTTTGTTACAATTTTTTGATACAATTTTTGTTTTGTCAGCCTACATTGTGTTTTTTTTCTTAATTCTTTAGAGTGCTAGTTTCAATTTATTTTACATCATAGCGAAGTAATGACATACAGCTAGTAATTATATATATATATATATATATATATATATATATATATATATATATATATATATATATATATATATATATATATATATATATATATATATATATATATTACACGTATATAGAACGTGTTAAAAATTCGGCGCCTTATTTTGCTCTTTTCGCTCCCCCTACAATGAAAACCTGGATACGCCTCTGGTTGACCTGCTACTTCGGAGATCTGTTGATAATCCTATAATTCTCTGGATCGTAACTATTCCTCAAGAAATAAAGTGTTGTAATCTCGAACCTGCAGTCAGAGTGTGCTTCTTTATATGAGTTGTATATGAGGTGTCCACGGCCTAGAGGCGGAATTCGTAAGCCGTGGACGAATACCTACAGACAGGTGGTTACACGCCCCTGTCGCATTTGGGTGCCGTGAGTAGGGGTCGCACAAGACCTAACAAAGAACGTCACACGTCTCATACATACACACACATATTATATATATATATATATATATATATATATATATATATATATATATATATATATATATATATATATATATATATATATATATATATATATATTGCAAATATATAAACCATAACTTCTGGTTGCTTACACAATAAACAACTACTAGAAATTATGAACTGTTTAGTGCTTTTCATCATCTTTTCTCGTTGCATCTGTTTCAAGGACCACGACATATGAAGGTATAGCGTGGTCATCACTATGCCCAGCCGCGTTTGCTTTCCCCAGTGTGAATTAGGTACCCATCAGAGCTACGGGGACTCAATGACGTTCTAATGACTTGAACTCGAGACTTTCGGGATTCAGTGTAACTTAAAACAATGCTAATGATAACGACTCACCCCGTTAATTGAAACAGACACAAATCCGACTGCGGTAGGGTAGATCTTGTAAGTCTTACATCGCAACTGCAAATGGTCTTCTGACGTCTCTATTAAACAATCTAGATGGCTTATTTTGGCTGTAAGGATGTATTGAATTCAGAAAACCAACACACAAACATATAGCTTAGAAGAATAATAAGCACTGAATATTGCTAATGCGTGTAATACTTTATGTGTATAGTTTCTGGCTAGAAATGGAAAATGTCACGTGACTTATAATCTGCGTTTGTTAATGTATATTTTAACTATTTAAAAAAACAACAATGTTAATATTTAAATGTTCTAAGTATTTTCTTTAAAAATTACTTTTGATATTGTTTATTGTTATAGGGTCGCGATGTCGGGTCGTTAAAGCTCATGGTTGCAAAATTGTTAGGTCCCGAGTTCGAACACACGGGCAGATGAGGTTCGATAGTTGGGATAAAATTTGTTCTTCAGAGAACGTCTAATGAAAGCAAAAAAGATAGAAAACAGCCTGAACCGGAGTCAATGTGCTATATTGCGTATAAAAATGTTGATGCGCAGTGGCTAGCGAGGGCGGGGCGGGGGTGCGGGTGACACCATTTAGTGGGGTGACGCCCTGGCAAAAAATTGCAAAATGTACAGAAGAAAAATGCTATTTGCCAGTTCCATTAAAGTTTCAAACTGCATTGGGTTCCAGCAAGAATATATTAAAACTTTATAATAGTTAATGATTATTGGTCATTACAAATAAAACAATAACGGTCTTTTTGGAGATAGCTCTTAAAGCATCCACTAAGTCAGTTATATTAAAACTGATAATGATTTAATTTTTTTTTCGTATTTTATAACAACTTACTGTATACTTTCAATAAACACGAAAACACAGTGGTCTTTTCTTCTTTTCTTCCATTTAAAGTCACCATTTGCAGCAACCATGTCCCTTCAGCATTATCCCAAGGCCTAATTCGTGTTACATTAGATATGTTCAAGTCAAAAGTCAACACATTGTTGTTGTGTGTTATTGAGCTGTTAAACCACTTTGATTTCGGGGTGATTAAGCAATAGTGATTAACGTAACAATCCGATACAAATTGATCGTTTAAGTACAATTTAAACCTCTGGTTTTCTGATTTCAGAATAATATTTAAATTCTTGGATAATTTCCATAAGTTTTTTTCCTCCGCTGGTTGGCACGCTTTGATTTCTGTAGAATAAATAAATAAATAAATAAATAAATAAGTAAATATATATATATATATATATATATATATATATATATATATATATATATATATATATATATATATATATATAAAAGAAAATCTGAAGTACTATTTTAAGAGGGTGTCATCATCGCGTTACCAATCCCATGTTTTTGACGCGTCACACCCAAGGGCGTGCTGTGTGAAAGCCTTGAATGTACGTTAGTCACTCTCTGTCATTGTGAGGATGAATACACTCTGGCGACCGCCCAGGTGTCAAGTGCGTAAAGGGGCGAGCTCGGGAGCCCCCGGTTGCACTACCGCAGGAAGCCGCTATGGCACCTGGCTCGGTTAAATCATCGAATGTCGTGTGCGCCCATGTCAGTACTGTAGGGTGTTCCTTAAAACTAATGTAGGCGACATAGTTCTCGGGCCGCCAAATAGCACCATGCCGGGGCTCAGGCAAATGCGCCTGAGTCAATATAGTCAACAATTTGCCCCCCCCCCCGAAATTTTTTTACCGCCCCCCCACCGAACGAAATGAAATTACTATAATTTATATAGAAAATATATACTTTTAACAGTGTCCGCCCTCCCCCCCCCCCCCCGAAGAAAGTTTACCGCCCCCCCCCCCCCCCCGAAAATTTCAGTGCCCCCCGGAGAAAAAAGTCTGGAAGAAACACTGCTCTACACAATTTCGGCCTGCCCCGTTTGTGGTGAAGAGGGGGGGGATAACAAACTCAGGGTGAACATAGCGTCAGTTTTTAGATGGATATTCTGGTTAAACCCCCCCCCCCCCCTCCTGCCTACGCCACTGATTATCATCAGCTCCCAAAATGTTCATAGCGACCGGATGAGCGGTGTCAAACCGCAATCGACTTTTATTTTTATATACCATACAAAGAGAAGAATCGAATAGCGCCGCCCTTGCCAAAATAATTTTTTTTCACCGCAGAAACCTCCCCAAGAGTATTCTCCACTATTTCCCACAGTTTCATGGCGATAGCATAAAGGATAAAGGACAAACCCACAAACAATCCCACATACTTTTATTTATAGAAGTATAGGTTTATTAAAATTGTTCTTTTAGTGTAAATATGAGCTTATGTCATTTTACTCCTAAATCATAAATAAAGTGCTATTTCGTATATTTGAGGTAGCTAAAGATAAAACTAAATTATTATAATCAAAGCTCTAACCTTGAATATAAAATAATCCTATCCAAGAAATGTATACACAAGTCTTCATCAACATTGTAATCCACAATTCGGCATGCATTTTATATTCACATTTCTATTAGCTATTGATCATTTATATATTTTCTGCGCTACATGCTTAAAACAGCATCAGTAACATAAGTATGTAATGAAATCAGAGTTGATTGCTAAGCGATCGAAGTAGTTTACTTATTTAAATTATTATCTAAATTATCTGTTATTGAAAAGAAAGATTTTAAGTAAAAAAAAAACAACGTTCAGCAGGAACGAAAACTATGCCATCTTTAAAATTTGTTTGCCGTCTGTGAATTTCAAAAGGACAACTTACTTGTAATTTTAAATTTAGTGCAGGCCGATTTGAACGCTTACCAAGAATAATTTGTCGAAAGTGAAACCGAAACTTTAGGATACATACAATATAGGATTATAGGTTAGTCGAAACTGAAAGTTGCTTATAAATTATTTGGACTTTGTAAAACTTGTTTAAAAAACATTCTTCAATCAATACCTCTTACTCTTATATTCAATTTTAATATAACTTGTATCAGCTCGTATAATTTAATTTGTATAAATAAAATAAACGTTTTACATCAACTAGCAGCCACAACTGCTTCATTCTGTAAACCATATTTTAAAATAAATACCAACTGCATTCATAGGTTACACAGCACACATGATTTTGTTTTGTTTAAATGCACATTATCTACACTCATTTAACTGTATTGATTCACCAATGTCATCAGTCCATTTTTTGTATGCTAAAAATAATGTTATGTTAAGACAAATATACATTGAAGTATTAAAATGTGTTGGCCTGTTATATATATATATATTATATATATATATATATATATATTTATATATATATATAAATATTTATGAATACAAATTTTGTGTGGGTCTGTGTGTGTTTGTCTTTCTTTTATGCATTACTACACCTTTCAGAAAGTTAAAATGAAAATTTGGTAAGTTGATGAGAACACTCCTCGGTAGAGTTTTGCGGAAAAAAAGGATTTCATCGGGGCGGGGACAGGTTCGGTATTACCCGCTGTGGCAGCTCATAGAATCACCACCTACCCTCTCTGTAAATATTGCAGTTTGTGGCTGCACTTAGTTCAAGTAAGCTTTAATATTGTTTCCAAGAATCTATGATAATATAATCATGTTACGCTCATAATTTAATATTTATTTACATTTTAATTTCGGGAATTTCCTTATTTAGCATATATTTTTACCAACTATTATTATTTGATATTAACAACAATGACGAGCGCATACTCCTAAACCTAATATAAACACATATGGGGGGCCACTAAAGTGCTTGAATTTAAATTTAAGCTAGTAATATATATATATATATATATATATATATATATATATATATATATATATATATATATATATATATATATATATATATATATATATATATATGTATATATATATATATATAAGCCTATATATATATATATATATATATATATATATATATATATATAATTATGTATATATATATAAGCCTATATATATATATATATATATATATATATATATATATATATATATATATATATATATATATATATTGGTATTTTTGCCTTGTCACATCAATAAATGGTGTCAACCGGTGCGGTCCGCACCCCGCCCCCTCCCCGCTACACCACTTACTAGACTTATGATCATTTAAATGTTAGGTTAGTGGTTATACCAGTTCTCAATTCATCGACAAATACTAAAATAAAATTTAAAATAAAAAAAATCCATTTCATATTTGCTAAAAGTGTGGCACTTTGTTCTGCTGTTAAATAACCTTGATATTTGTCTATTAAAACAACACCTGCGTGCTGTGTTCAACACATCTGAAGCAACCCTACTGGCAATTTATAATAATTTAGCTTCCTTCATGAGCTTATTCGGTGCTTGGAAAACAGCACGGATGTAAGACATCTAAAAAGGAGAGGGGTGCTAATAGTGTTACATACAATTTTAGAAACTATTTTTATCATTTTGCTGCTACATAACTACAGTATTACTTCATATATACTTAAATATAACGAAATAATAACAACGATGGCATGTAAAAAAAACCACGGGTATTATGTTTATCATATTCAGTGAGTCATTTCTATTATAAAAATATTCCGTTTTCGAGTATATTATCGAAGCCCTCATTGATAGTGAAAACTAACATTTATAAACTAAGCATCTAGCCGCTATTACAACATGCATGTTTCTAAATTATAACGTACACAGTTTTGTAAAATAAATAAGTTATTATTAATTTAAGCAAATTCCTTTCCAAATAAAGTGTCTTTTACGAATGGCTTATTAAACTGACATTTGCTAAAACGAATTTGAAGGGGTGTATTGTGAGAGATAGAAGATATGCACAAAATAATGCATATAAACACATAATGTACCGCAATTAAAGAGAAACTATTTGCTGAAGCTTACCGTGTCTAACACATCCCGCAAACAGAATGCAGTAAACTTTATTAGACCACCTCAAGGACTCATTTGATAATATTACACGTATATGCCACATCAAACTGCAGATGCACAAGAACTACAAGTTGGTTTATATATATATATATATATATATATATATATATATATATATATATATATATATATATATATAGGCCTACATATATACATCTACATATATATATATATATATATATAGGCCTACATATATATATCTACATATATATATATATATATATATATATATATATATGTATATATATATATGTATATATAAATATGTATATTTATATATAAATATGTATATATACATATATATATATATAAATATATATATATATATACATATATATATATATATAAATATGTGTATATATATATACATATTTATATATAAATATATATACATATTTATATTTAAATATACATACATATATATATATATATATATATATATATATATATATATATATATATATATATATATATATATATATATATATATATATATATATGGCACTGCGTTAGTCAAATGATATAGCATTTGATTGCTAATTTGAAAGTTTCGAGTTCGAATCTGGGTTCAAGTAGGTATAATGTCACTGATGGGTACTTGACTCATGTTATGGAAAATAAAGACACCTGGGTATAGAGCTGAGCATGCTATCCCTTCATACACCGAGGTCACAGAGACTGGTGAACTCTACTTCACTTGCCCATGGACTGTCAGGTTCACAAGAGAACTTTTCTACTGCTATAAATGGGGACAATGTATCCCGCAGTTATGGAGTGGGAGGGTTTACACTCTATTGATTTGATATTGTTACATGCCGCAGAAGACTGATTAATTGTGATGAGGATTACAATTTTAATGACAACTTGAAAAATAATTTCAGCAATAAAGCAAAAAATTGAAAACATTTTTTTTTTTTTTAATTCTTTGGTTGGTTATGTTTAATTTACTTTAACTTTAAGCAGCAACAAAGAGACACAAAAATAACATAATTCATAAAATGGAGAGATTCTCCATTTAAAAATAAATAGAAGTTGAGTATTTAAATATAGCACCAGGATCATATACATTTTTTAAAATTATATTAAAATACTGGGTAAATAAATATAAAATATAATTTTATTACTTGATTTAACTAAACTTAAAATATTTATTTTTTAGAGTCCCCCTCCCCCCTGTTCTTTCAAAAATGACAAGTGTCCCACACTAAGTTAACTTTAATGAAAAATGCCACCATTATCCCTTTACAGAATCCTTTCCATGCCTCTATCTCTATAAATAGAAATTTTTTAAAAAGTTTAGCAAAATATACTAAACTAATTTATCTCAAATATCAGATAGCTTTGACAAAAGCCACTAACCAAAATCATTTGGATTGGGGTGAATTTGATGGCAAGATAGTCAAATTACATAGACGACATATTTAGCCATATAACAATAGAATTATTTAACAAACAAGCATACATATAAAGTAGACTTAAATGCTGTGACAAAAATGCATATGCTGTGAATAAAAACAAGTTCATGCAAATTTTTAAAGCTTAAAAATGTTGATACACAGTGTGATTGTCAATAGTCATGTTTTTAAAAAGTTATTTGGTATAATAATACATTATGGAAACACGTTTACTGAAAATTAGCTTCACCCTCTAAAGGAAGACTAGATGGTAAATACATTCATAACTTTTGCAATTGATTATGAAATTTTAAAATGATACCCTATTTTGATTTTAAAATATTTAAAAAAAAAAAAAATATTTTGTTGTGATATATATTAATTGCTTACAACTAGAGAAATATGTTTCATAAATATATATATATTTCATAAAAGGAATATTTACATAAATAGAAATGGCGAATTGAACATCATTAAAAATACAAATATTTTTGATGAGCTTAAAAAAGTGAAAACATTTTTAAAATGTGCATTGGATGATCATGCCTCAAAAGTGTGCCTAATTTTAATTTAAAATATAAATTAAGCAAAATTTATTGTGAAAATACATTTTTAAATGTAATACTGTTGGAAAATTAACATCTATATATATAATTCTCTTCTTCGAGCCGTTAGAAAACAAGCTGCAAACGCTCTCCCTACCTCCCCACCCCTACATGGTTTTAGTGAGCTGTGTTCACTCTAAATGTTTACAAGCAGAGCCAACGATTTTAAACGTAGGGGGGGGAGGGGGGGAGGAGGGGGGGAGGGAAGGAAGGGGGGAGGGAAGGAAGGGGGGGGGGGGGTTATGGTCCTTAACGAGCTACTTATAGTGTTTTAAAGAAATATTTTCAGTGTCAGCATTGGTACTGTCGAATTCACAAATTATGAATTATTGAAAATTAGAAACAACTAAATAGCGGCGTGTGTTATGCCGCGGGCCGGCTCGTCATTATAAATGCAAATATTTTTAAACAAGTTTCATATATTTGAATGGTTACTGTGTAAAACATTAACTTTGTGAACATTTTCTTATTAACATAAATAGAAAGACAGTATCATAAAGCAAAGCACCAATAAATGTGTAATAATAAAAGAGATACAAACATTAGACAATACACATAATACTTCTGGTGCTGAGTATTTCAGGACTTTGACCATTGGTCTGCTGCTATTGTTTGAAAGGCACACAGGACATAATGTATTTATTTTTTAGTTAGAACTTTGTCTCACAAACAATTTATTAATGTATACAAATTATGCATGATTATGAATCTCACAATACTAAATAGAAAACTGCTTTAAGCAGATCCCTAAATGTGTGGACATAAAGGATAATTTGTGCATAAGGTTT